TATCGCCAGAGACGCCAAGAGTGTAACCATTATCGTCAGATTCAGAGCCAGTGAGCCGTTATCTGATACGCGCGTTTCTGAGACAGCACAAATCACTACCAAGAGAGTGAAGAGTGATAGTCTGCTGGCCGATGTAATCAAGAGTGCGGATGTTAACAGAACTAATATGGAATGAAACCCTAGGTTTGATGGAAGAGCTAGATATATCGATATCCGCAGCAGCAACATCAGCGGCAGTCTCTTTCTCGAAAGAATGGGAAGGAGAGGAGAAATGTGGGTGAAAATAAGAAAAGGGTGTATTTTCAACCTGGTCGAAAGAGCAGCTGATATTCTCCGGTTGCCTATTCTGAGAGGCGGGTTTTGTTTAAAGTACCCTACTTCTAGCTTTTGACTCAACAATTTGACACACAAGGCAGTGAAGTACATGGAGATTCGCTTGAAAGACTCCACCCAGAGCCTAGCCTGACCCATAAGGCAGTGGGCAACAAATAGCTCGGGAGTGTGATTAGAGTGAGCCGTTGGGATCTGCCTGATGCGTGTCACACACGGCGAGCGTCGTGTGTTACGCACCTGCTACCACGTCCAGTCGCAGGTGGGAGTTGGGGGGTTTGCACCAATATGATCAGGGGCTGCTTGGCTTGAGGCATGTGGTAGCAAACCATTGAGCATCGGCAATGCCCTCCTGCCGTCAGAAACAATCTGTGGCGTTCGTGTTTTACGCCAATCGAGCTGTCAGTTTTTAACCCGTAGACCTGTTGTTCCACATGGCTAGGTTTGAAAGAATGGGCCATCGGCCACTCTCTAACGTTCGAAGGTGATTGGGTTGGGAGGCTGACCTCTTTAGTATGAGTGGCACTGAAGGCACTTGGGAAGTACCACCCAGAATAGCTCAGTAAGTCACGAAGGTGCGCAAGCCATCGCGCCACTCGTTGCAACGAACTCGATGTGTAACATGAATAATTATTGTACCACATAACGCAGCCACCGCATTTTCTCTGTGTACATTGTCGGTCAACATGAAAAGAGCTAAGTCCGTCGAGTTTCACAACTACATGTTCAATACCATGGTAAACCACGTTTCCGGCTATGATGGTACCCAAATGCTAGTATTCACAACATTTTATAACACTTGGGGTTCTAATTTCCCAAGTTGCGATAGAATATTTGCGCTGAGTGAAACACGTAATCTCTTTCTTTCGAAACGCATAACTTCCATTCTGCACGGTGTTTTCGTATGGAATTCCTTTGTCATCTTTTGATTTTGTTTTATTTTTTGTATAACTTCCAGAAAAAAGTGCCCAATTCATTTTGGTGAAAGCACGCAAACATTTCAGAGTATCGCGAGTGTAGACTATCATGTCCATGGTTACAGAACAAATTATTTGAAAAGTTGAAACAAAGGGTTTTGATGCAGTGTCGAAAGGCGTGTATTGGTAAATCCTTTAGGTAGGAATCATAGAGCACGGTCGAAGTTGAAGGCCCTGCCGCGTAGCTTTCCAGAGACTCAACAATCTATGGAGACACCGGAATATCAGCCTGTCAGTGAAAGATAGTGTTACAATGCTGCGAGGAGGCTCTTGTTGCTGTATTGATCAGGGACCTAACCAGTTCACAGTGAAGACAGACGCCTTGCCGTGTTTGACCACCGTTGTTTGTGAAGTATCGCTCACCTCTGGTAGGAATACTGGGTGAGCAATGCTGAAGTATGTGATGGTGGCTGAAATCTGGGGCGAAGGGGATCGCCTGCGTCAGTGTGGTCGGTCAGGCGATCGATCGAGTGCGCAGGTGAGTTTTCTAAAATCACAGCTAGTTGTACATTACCTCAGACTTGTGAGTAGAACGATTGTTTACAGTGCCGGTGTGAGTTCTTTCTCTTGACGAGGCTGGGAGAACGAGGCCCGCAACATGGTGACAGGATATGAAGAACCCGATGAGCAATTAGCAGCTTTGCTTTGGCTGGCAACCCTTTTGTAACGATGCCGACTCCATTATAGATGACGGACGGTTCACTGCCCGGACACTGGCACCTGCCGGAAGCGAATTTGATGGACTTCGCGACACTAATCGAGTTCGATAAATACCCTGTCTTATACCAGTTAGCCCTGTTCAGGTATGCCATCGGCCATGATGCAATGCGGATACTAGACGCCTGGAATCCCTGCGATCACGATCAAGAACCGGATCTTTCGGAAACGCTCGGCTGTTGGATTTTGGCATGAAACTTCCTGGTGTTCTGCATTGGCTAGGTCACGTTTTCTGTATGCCCGTCAATCGCCTTCCTCGGTGTGCATTGTACGCTGTCACTGCATCAAGTTGGGTAGAACTGCGAGGTGGCCAGTCAATGACTTGGCATAAAGTGACTTGGTCAGACTGCTGCGTGTTGTCTTCTTGAATGGGGGCTCCCCAATGGTCCACATCATTGGTTGGAAATTCTACCAGACATAGCGTAGCAGGGACTTCCTTTCATTTAGTTCCCTGCATCTAGTTTTTAATTTCCACTCCGCTGTGATTAGTTAAACCCACTTCTCCATTCCGTTTTCTTTACATTATATTTACTTTAAACTTCATTTTTTTGTTATTACTGCTGCTATGGCGACATGAGTAGTGGCAACTGGATCCACTTCACCTCGGTGCCCGGATCAGAGTTGTTTACTGAAATGTGTCGAGAAGAATAACTGAGGTTTTTGCTGTGATTTCAAAGGCCTAGTAAGATTTTACAAGTAACCACTGGCATGTCTCCTACAACAAGTGGTGTGCGCCAAGATTTGCTCTATATTCACTATGTATCATGAACGTGCATATCTCTGTGGTATCCGGTTTTCTTGGATTTGGAATTTTACCGAACCACAAATTGGTCAGCAGCTCACACGTCTTGGATGCAATATGACATCTGTTCAAGTGCTTATACTTTGATTGACGCTGAGTGCTGCATGTTTCGGCATGCTATTTGCGCCTTTGAAATACGAAGTGCCATTACAGGACTGGATCGACATTATAATTTCTAGTTATCGAGCGATTACCCGTACCGATCCAACGTGAATGTCTGGAATGTTGGAGTGAAAACCTATGTAGAGACATCAGCAGTAGTATGCTTTCGGCTTACCATCCTTGTATATAGCCTACAATATGACTATTAAAATTGTTCACTGATTGACTCAGGGCATGTTTGAAGTTTAATGAATTAATTGTGGTTGGGCTTGAGTTCTGCAAGGGTATTCGAAACTAGGCAGGAGGACAATCAAGGTATTCAACCAAAGCCTTTTATTCAGAAACCTGACCATGAAGTAGCGATAACATCGGTCTAGTTGTTCAGAAATGGACACCATTCCATTTCTAGTCCTGGACTTGGAGGGCTAGGAGATTGAGTTAGTCTGATCTTAAACCTCTGACCAGTCTGGTGTGAGTAGTCTCAAGACACCCTGAAGGAACACTCAGTATAGTTCAGTTAGTCGAAAAGGTACAAAAATCCTCGCGCCACATTTAATTCCGGTTTTATCATGACGGAGGAATCCACAATACCAGATCATTAATACCCATGTAATATGACCAATAAGATCACAGTATCATTGCTGGCAATCAGGTTACCCTATAAGTTATTGCATATGTAATGGTCTGTCTCGCCCCGTCAAAAGTGGGTTTATGACACTACGCTAGTCGAGATTGGGGGACTGGTTTTTGCTGATCCCCGGCATCTGCTGTGAGAGCCAAGCGAGTAATGTCAGTGTCCACCGACTAGACTTTGGTAACAAGCCATCCGATACCACATCGGAACTCGAGCTGTTTATGTAGCCCCACCGGCTGCTTTTCCCAGTGTGTTTTTACGTAAATTTCAAAAATATGCATTGAAAGACACGAATAAGTGGCACAAAGGAATTGCCCGATGCTTTGAGCAAGTAACATCATCCTGAGTGATGATTTCTGAGTCACTCCCATCAATGACTAGAGTGCCTAACTGAGGTGTTCCGACTGTGATGACATCTGCACGCCTACGTGTACTTCTTCGCTTCTTAGTTTGAATTATTCCATTCAATGAACTTGCCCCAATCGCTGATTTTTTGCCATTGTTATATCAATTACTACTACTATGCCTGAGTCAAGGCGGCAGAATACGCCGAACAGTGACACATAGGTCGTTTGTAACCAACTGAACTGGTACTGTGCAGCAGCAATATGTAATAGTAACATCTCCTGGCGCTTTCCGATCAACTTTGTGGAATTAATGCGTAGCAATAATAGCGAAAATGAAGGAGTTCGAAATAGCCGAACGTACTTACTGGACGAATAAACACCCCATTGGTGCAGCAATATCACCGATCTCAGGTAAAATACATTTCTCAGATAAACTTAACCAATGTAAATCATGTGTACCATGGCACGTGGTCTAGGCACTGACAGACCCTTCGAACCAGAGATCAAATATACCTAAGTTGAATTCCATAGGCGCTACCTTATAAAACCCACTTGGCTCTGGGTAGCTGCCATTATCGCCACACGCATTTATTGACGTTTTATAGCACTTGTCTGACCTTCCGGCTAACACACAAAGTGTCCAAATCCGTGTTTTCCACTGAATCATCATTGTAGATTAGCGTCGTTACACAGCTCATCTCCGCCGATGTAGGCGCGCTTCAAAACCAGCTGCCGTTATCCAGAATTGCGATAATTCACTCTTTCCCCATTTCTGTGTTGAGTGCGATGTCACGTGACTGGGCATAAAATGTAGATTTCTCTATGGAAGACACTAAGAAGCCCCGCGCCAACTTTCGAATTTGTATTTCTTGTTGTCTAGCAGTTATTTATTCCTGCACATCCCTTCGCCCGTTTACGGGATGCGATTACTAGAAAACATTTGAAAATGTGGTTGACTGTGGGTTTGGGCATACGTGCGTCGGTCGAAGGAATCCTCATTCCAGACGCGACACGCCCTGAGCCATTCGGGTGTGTGGGACACCATTTCACTTCAAGCCTATTTACATTAACTTGCATTGTGATTCGTTATCATGACCATCGATTTTGCTTTGCAGGATCGTTCTCTCGGCACGACCATGACCCCCGCCTCTCCGTCTGATGATAAACCAAGGACAATACAGACTAGCAACGCTTTATGTACTGTCCATGCAACATTGAAAGCGTTGTATGGAGAGTATATAGCTTCGTTATCCAGGCGACATGTCACTTCCCCGGCGCGTATGTCTCACGGCACTATCGAAGGCGAGGTAGTCAAGATTACCACCTTGCGCGGAAAGTATTTTCGGTTTATGGGATTCACTCACAACAATGAACAATTTTTACATGCAGAAGAGGCAGTCCATCTGGCGCAGAATGACCGCTTGTTGATATGGGACGGCGAGTCACCTCTCAGTATGCAGGAAGTATACGCACAATTGTTGAATTTTCAAACCTATCCGTTATATTTGATACTTAGTCATTTTTTGCAGTTCGGTTATGTTTTGCGAAAACGTGATCAGCGGGCTAGCCAGTCGCGAACTTACTTGCGTACTTCATGTAAGTGGACACGCCCTTTTCCGACCACAATCCCAATTGGCGTGTCACCTTTGCGTTTGCCTGATTTCGGATCCGAGATTAAGGCGCCTGGTTGCCGAGTAAACGTTGACGATTTAAAATCTCTTGTTGACCCTCGATCCATACTACCATTGTCGGAGTTAATGCGCTCCTTACAATCAGTGGTTCAACCATATCCGGAACCAACGGTTAGCTCAGCCGGTGTTAATCTTCTCTACGATGGATACGGCGGACACAGTTCATCGAATGGCCAATGGCGGATAACAAACTTTTCCAAACGGTTTCCGCCGCCACCAGATTTTGTGATCATCAAAGCTACTCCTCGCGAGCCTTATCCTTATGTCTCACAACAACAGCTGATCGATGAAAATCTGAATCCATCCACAACATTGATATTATGTGTCATTGACGGATCTGATGTGTTCTTCCATCAGCTTATGCCTTTCACAACGCCTATCCTCCAGTACACTGTCAATGAGGGTAACACATGTTGAATGGACTATTGTATACCCTCCCCCCGTGTGTGTGCGCGCCATAGCAAAGTGACGATATAATGTAAAGTCCCCTATGTTTCTCGTTAATTCTTGTTATCACAAATGGCCAGTTTTTACCAGTTTTGGCATTTTCTTAGCATTAACCACTTTTTTATGTCCAGTTTTCTTTTCAGCTCGTCAGGTCTCATTAGAGATTTATTTTGATCGGACACTGATAAACATTGTTCTTATCTGGTGAGAGCACAGGGCGAAGATGAATAGATTTCATTGTCTGGTTGTTGGCAACAAATCTTTCTTACTGCGTTGGAGCGCCTAGTGAATTCGATTCGTCTACGCTTAACCGATCATGTGCTCCGCATGCCTACTAGCCGACTATCTCGATATGTATAGTCTCTCAGTATTTCACTCAGGAGAAATCCGATGTTCAGTGATCTGACAAAGCGTTTGAAAAACTCACCGAACGGCTACATCGAGCTGATGCTTATCTTCTATGTAGGTTCTCGGGACCGGCATCACAACCTTGGTTGGACACCCTAGTATATATGACGCGGTCATGTGGTCAGTAGAGCACTTTCATTCGTTTCATTATCTTACTCCTAACTATTCCATCTGACGAGTTTAATTTTCGCCTGCTCTCCTTGGGATATTATTGTTGTTATTATTATTACTGCCACTGTGGCTGCGTGAGTCAAAGCAACCGGATCCACCACATTTCAGTTGGTTAACTGGACTTAGCCAACTCGGTTTCAGCGGGCAGTGCCGCAGCTCGGCCACGCTCAGCGGATCGATCGGACACAGCTGCTGTGAGAAGGAACGTAATCCCTCATGGTGTCCCCCATCTTGCGTGGGCTCGCTGAAAAGCCAATGAAGAAAGGCAATAGGAATTTTATTGTAAATGTTTTTGCACAAAAACAAGCGAATAAACTGTACTCTGGCCGATTCAATCTTTAACGTTAATTACACATTGTTGTCATGTGCTTCTTTGTGCATCTATCAGCCATCTGGGCGTCGTATTCAAGTTCTCTACACGGTCATTGCAAGCTGTGTTGATGTGTAAATCGACCAGAGATCGCCCGTAGGAAGATACATCGGTGTAGAAATTCTCAGTACAGTAGGGAAGGAAATAATAACACAATCTTTGGAAAATCAAGGTGTCTGAAGCAGAAAATAATAGGTGGCTCGGGATAAAATCTGTCGCGTTTGTGTTGAAAGATAAATTAGGCGGATTGCACTCTTCTTTAACCATCACCATGATGACTCAGTTTTTGTGGGTTAAATACAAGGAAGTGATGATAATGGAGGTATATCGAAAGTATCAACCGAAAAGAAGTTGGAGAACAACTGTCACAGCCATCGATCTCGGAAACACTGTTGCCAATAATCGATTCATTCCGTTGGTTTATCTTCTTCAAGACCATTGTCCTGTTGGGATTTTGAGGTGGACCTTTGGCGTTTGTATTCTCGCATTGACTCACGTTCTAATGTCTGTAGCAGAGAACAAAGTCTATATTGAGAGAGATGATAGCGAGGTGGGAGAGATAATGGATTTATCGAGAATTCTTAGTAATACCTCCAAGCCAGATAACCCCTCACGCATTCCATTGGGATTCGCCGTCACCCATGGCTTAGTGGCTTCCCGAGGCCACTGGCCCGATTCCCGGTTTAAGCAGCAGATGAGCGAAACTGTTGACCCACTATAGGACGAAACGGCGGTATAGTGCCTTTCCGGATGCTTAGGCGACCATATGAATTAAATCTACTGCGAGGAGTCCACAAAAAGTCACAGCAAAACTCGCCTACTCACAAGTAATCAAATAACGTGGTACCATACGGACACGAGACCCAGTCGTGCACGTATGATACAGTACGGACTCCGACAGCTGACGCGTCGTCTATGCGATCCGAATACTATGACGAGTATGAAATGCCTCTTGAATTTATATTACATTGGTACTGTTACCTTCATCAGTCCGGCTGTCGCGAGCTACCAGAAGAGAGCGGGAGGGAGGTCTAGGAGATAACATCCACGGCTTATGCAGGATCTTGCATCCCTTTTGGCAGTGGAAATAGTGGTCAACTACCGACAGTATGGAATGACGGGGGTAAAAGCCGTTTTCCAATATTGGTTGGTTCACTCTTCATTGCTTAAAGCACTGGATAAGGAAATAGGTCTTGGACGGGCGTAATAGTCTTCTCGTGCCGAGCGACCGTGTCTTCTTCTTTGTGAGACAGACAGTGGATAGTGCCATAACCCTACTCGAGAATGAGTCACTCCAAACCCCTTGCACAAACTTTGATAGACGCTACTATTGTAGAAACTGGATTTCTGTATCCCGTCGACCCAAGATAGTTGCACACGAGTAAGCGCTGTCCTTGCTATTTCTTATCCTTTTTCTCGCCTATTACATGATCAATAACCACTCCCCTTATTGATTTGTGTGCGTATATTCTCATGTCAAACTCCCTTTATACGGCAGTGTAGTTAAATCTGTAATCGCCCAAATTGACGACTCCATTATCCTTTGATCTATCTTTCTCACTCTAAACACCCTACGGGACATGTCAAGCACCTGCTTTTTTACCCGTTATAAATCATTGTTCATTCACTGTTCAAGAACTATATCTAAGCTGTACATGGTAGTGACAGTGGTCACGCAACAGATTTGTGCATTCTAACAGATTCCAATATAATCAAATCCAATCAATCCCGTTCGATAGTGCCATTTAACTTCCTTGCTGTCTAACATTACACGCGCAGTCAACTGGACTTGTGACGGATTCATCAAGCGTTTCATGGAAAGGTCAAGATGATATTCTGGCGTTTTCCAACAAGGGCGTCGGCTTCAAGCGCTTGAGGAAGCCGTTCACAAAATGAATTGATCAAACAAGCTAATAGGCAAAATGACCTCGAAGTACGTAGCCTCCAAACACCCTTCGGACTTGTGCGTACATCAGCGAAATAAAAAAAAACGACGTGCACTTTCGCCATGCCGATTGGAGATAGTTATCCCTAAAATCTTATATCGGCGACCAGTTTAGTCAAAACAATCAAAGGGTGGATCCAGCAAACCGGTACATCTGCGTTGCCGCTGCCCGAATGTCGTCTCAATTATGAAGATCACGTGTTCTACGATGGTGTCAAATCACAAGCCTAGATGATCTAACTCACTCGAAGTGCCTCGCGGCGACGGTATTCCAGCACTGCCAGCTGTTGCATCACGGAACTCGGTGTGTCGGGTATGAGAGAAGAGAGAGTGTAGTAGAGCACATAGATGCAGTGCTGTAAAGGAGAAGAGGAATTAAACCAGTCCACGAACGAACAAAAACACCATGGCAAATAAATGTTGTTGTAAACCAAATCATGAGCTGATTGTGACACTGTGTCAGAGGGTGGCGTTTACGTTCAGCAGATTCGAGATTGCAATCCCACCGCAGCTGAGTCACGCATGCTAACACCAGTTGCGTGGAAACAAGAGACCGCCGCAATGAAAAGCGCCGACGTCTTACGAATGCTAAGTAGGAAAATTCGCTTCGGCTCCAGTTCATGCATTACTGCATGGTCATGACGTCTCCTATGTGCGTGAGGACCTTCGTTGAAATAAGGTTGGCGGCATCCGGTTTCGGATTTGCCTGTCACTATGGCCAGCCACAGGACGCCTGCGCCTACAGAGGGACCATGGGTGGCTTGCGCTGCACCACCCACAGCTCCAACCACATACCCCATATCCAGTGTAAACCCGAAGGAATAAGACCGGAAGGCATGCGGATGGGAGCCATGTTTCATCAACGGAGCCGGCCCACACTCCTTCACAGGCAAACACAAGCACGCTGTATTTGGGGAATCAAGTGCACACAAGGCGGTGGCTAGACCGTAGTCCGCTCCACACTGAGTGCATGGAACCACTCTTCGAGGCTAGCACGACTGCAAGGACGGTGCACCCCGTCCCCTCCAGAAAACGACCAACTGTCTTGTGGAGCCAGTAGGGAAGGGGTAGTGGGTAATAGACAGGTAGGCACCTTGTCAACATGCACATCAAGTGCAGCCACCCTGGGGATGCCAAACAACAGCCAATCATTTGAAATGACATTATTTAATAAAATATATCTGTCAGAGCATACGGCTATGCAGAGATAACTCTTCCCTAAATTAGCATATGGAGTAAGTTGGTTAGCAAGGAATCCGCGATAAAATGTCCAGAAGTTACTCAAAAATGCTACAAACGTAATAAAGTTGAGGAAGATAAGCACAATTAGCGTAAGCAGCGTGGCCAGTCAATAGAAGATTATTCAGGTAGGCAGAACGAACCAAATAAAGTGGAATGAAATTTATCCAGCTTATAGAGACCTAGTTAAGTGTAAGTGTGTTTAGTCCAACTGCGGTGAAGAAACATCAAGAATGCAACAACATATATGTATGGTGCGCTGGGACTGGTGGTGGCTAGATCCTGACAGATGATCTACCCACTGCTTTTATTATCTTCCGCCAATTGCAGGGGACAACAGCGCGCGTATGCTTTGCACCACATGGTAGAATAACATACTATGTTCCAGTGTTCGCCTGTGATAACATTTCGCTACACCTCTTCTTCAAACCGACCTGCTTACCTACTCGGTTTGTTGTCATGGTTTTTGACTAGCCAGTTGTATCGTAACAGCTGTTCGCAACCCCAAGTGTCAGCTCAGCAATTTATGATGAGGTACATCTAGCAAATGACGTCGCAGGTTGCTGCGTGCTGTATGCTCTACGAAACAAGTCTCGAATGGTGCAGTGTGACCACCTTATACTGAGACAGGGTCACCGTGTACTGAACGATTGGAAGATTGATTGTGTTTCACGATTGATCTGCATGATGCACTGCTGTTAGCTCGTGGGTAATGTTCGTAGTTTGGCAATGGCGACAAACACTTGGATGCTGCAGTGGACCGGGGTGAACTCGAATTTTCTAGGCTGGTAACGTGGTGCAGTACCTCGCACATCAGGTCACCACGCGCCTCGGAATGTGCTGTTTACCGACAAACCCACTCTAGTTAAGTGAGAATAAGAGGTAGCAAAGATGCATGAATAAACCTAACAAAAGGATGGATCGGATTTGAGCATAGGCTTTTCAGGATGTCAGGCTCGGTAATTACAATGGTTTAAGGGAACATAGAACGTGGAGCTTTCACGAAGTCAGCGGACCTCCTCCACTGTTTGATGTTTGTTGTCTTATCTCAAATTAGCACTCTCTCGAAGTTCCTTCTAATAGAGTATCAGCGTAAACTTAGGCGACCAGTTCCGCCGGACTTCTTAGTTGAGATTACAACAGCACATCTAGTTTTGGCATAATTCATCATGGTCCATTCTCGATCAGCAGGCTTTGGCAAGTCTGGAAAAGCACCAGACACCGGTGTTTCGACATTCCGGGTCTCGTCAATGGTGCGCCTTCCATCGGACCTTTGCCGGGTTCCGACCCCATGATTTACGGATGCCAGCAGCTAGTGTCACTTCGCCATGGGTGACAGCTGCAGGCCTACGTGATTGACAGTTGTCTGTGATATACTCCGGCTCACCTTCCACTGCCATGCCAATTACGGACTGTGCAGAGGACAGCAGTTAGCCCCCAGAGCTAGGACTTTCCGCATAGCGCCTATGTACGACTTAAGGCTTACAAGTTATACGGACATCTAGTTACGTCCTCTTGTGAGAAAAGTTAGAGAGACATTTTTGTGGCATCTGCTAGAATCTGGCTGTACACTCTTCCCCTTATTTCCGTAATGCACGGTGATTCAAAGCGTTACACGCTCATCCAGTGAGCGCTTACAGTAATGCATCAGTGAATCTGTGCTAAACGCATACATTCCTGCAAACGCTTAGGGGCGGGCGCACTTTCTGATCTGGTGTCTCGTCGTTGTGCCGCAGACTGCAACTGACTCATGGTCGTAAGAGGATTTGGCCCGTAGCGTGCATACGTTCTCGTTGCGTCGGAAATTTCCACAGGATATTCTGCATAGCAAATGTATTCGAACAGTGGTAATACATGATCGCTGCGGCCCAAGGGGACGTCGACGATCACCCTCTCGATCATTGATTCTTCGTTGGTGAATATCCAATATTGAAGATTTATCTTTATCACGAAATCTAGTGGGAGTGTTGATGTGGCCATACAGCGGATAACTGGAGACAAACTCTTGTAGATCGGGCTTAAACTGTTCTCCAGAAGCTGTTTGGGATTCCAGAGCGTGGGTGATGAAATCGCCAGTAATGAGAATGCGGCTGTAACTTGTGTTTATCACATTGCTTATTGCGGACGCCAGATGGGAGTCTATCTTGGGCGAGGAGGAGGGCGGTAAATGACCGCCACTAAGCAAGTGTCGTCGCCTTTTAAATGTAGACGGCACCAAAGGGAATCTTGTATCGAGCTGACCGGATCCTCTATGAGCTCACATTGAAGATCATTGCGGAAGTACAGAGCCACCCCTCCACCTTTGCTGGGTCGGTCGTGCCGAACAATGGACATGCCTGGCAGTGCGATCTCCATGTCACTTATCTCAGGGCGTAACCATGTCTCTGTTATAGCGATGAGGTCGCAGGCATTTGATCCTTGACGAAGCCGCATTTCGGAAAGTTTACTCAGTACGCCTTGAGCGTTGGTGTACATACAAGTAAGCTTCTCGCATGTCAAAAACTGTTGAGCAGGAGCACATGAATGAGGTGGATTTGTGCCGACCGATGAGAGGCCGGCACCTAATCGTTTTTGGGTGAATTGCCAGATCTCGATAGGAATACAATCTGCTTTTGGTCTCACTGTGCACCGAGTGGATGCGACTCTAACTGCTGTCTTCAATTGTAATTCCGAATGAAGTGTGTTTCGTAGTAACTGCCGGCTACGGATTAAGTTCACGGCCATCTGTTGTGAATGCACCGTTAGTTTCAGTATCCTCGGGCCACTGCCTCTGTAGTTTGGCGACAATCGTAATCGACTGAAATATGACGTCGCCCGCATAGAGAGCTGCACGGATGTAACGCCATTCTTCCAGGTCATAAGCGTGAGCTTCTTCGTTGCTGGTTGTCGGTAGCTCTGACACGCCATGAACGAAAATAATTCTTTGGTTACTCTCCGTGTGATGGTAGTTTGAATTACTTTTGTCCCGCTGGCGTTCGCTCCATGGAACATCCGGAAGTATGCGTAATCCATTGTTTTCAGTCCACAGGCGGGTATGCCGACAAAAGCACCATCTCGACATTATCTATTAATCGCAATGTTAACCGCATTAGCCAGGGCTCCCCCATAATGATTAGAGGTTTGATGTCTAGTGATAGGCATTATATTAGTCGGACTAGCTTGAACTCCGAATTTATCACAAAGGAAATTTCATTGCTTTAAATCAGCTAGTTGTTTACGTCTTAAGGAGTTTGCCTTGGACTCTGGAACGTTGGTGCATATAAGAGTTAAGGCCCCGTAATTCCGCCTGGTGTTCGGTGATGTGGGCAGCACGGTTATCAAGGGCTTTAGTGGATCGGTCTTAAGGACGCTTCGAATTTCGTTGGTCAATCGGAAGGATGGGTGTGACCGATGTTTTATCAGTTGGGGGGGGGGAGAGTCTATGGTGCGCTGAGGCTAGTGGTAGCTAGATCCTGACAGATGGTTTGCCCACTGCTGCTACTGTTGTGCCATGGGCCCATGTCCTGGAAGCCTCCTCGTAACGACCGCTGGGTGGGAGTTGGGTTACACCCTTCCTATCTGCTAAGATCCAGGACATCAATCCGCATGAGTCAGTGAACTGACCATGTGATTCACCAGCTGCCTTTCAGGTATGCATCTAATCGAAGGCTTTGGCTGAGGATCCGAGTCGTTCTCCTGTCAGGTGTGGGCGCCCTGGCAGTATCCTAGTCCATCCTCTTCGGAGGTTAGGAAGTGGTCGATGGCCCTCTTCCCGCAAAAACCTAGCCATGGGAGGCAACAGCTCTACGGGATATAAGTTTACTGCGCGATTGGCGTAGAACACGACGCCACGCATTGTCTCTGACGGTGGGAGGGCACCTCCGGGTGTTCAATGGTTTGCTACTGCCCGCCTCAAGCCAGGCAGCCTCTGGTCAAATTGGTGCAAACCCGCCGAAACCCACTTGCGTCTGGCCGTGGTCGCAGGTGCGTATCCTACTTCGGTCGCAAAACATATATGAATCGTCTCAGTACCTAGAAAGCTGCTCGTGACGGCCGTCAAGCAGATCCTAATCTGTCTCCGCAACCACATTCCCGAGCTGGATCTGCTCCACAATGCCTTGTGGGTCAGGCTATTAAG